GGACACAGCGGGCACCGGATCGCGGTGCTGTGCGCTCCCAGGGAGCGCGCACAAGCAGGGTGCGGGGAGGCCATTTATAAACGGTCACCTGACCCTGCACTGCCACCGTCTGGCCGTTTATATGCAACGGTCCGGTCAGGAAGTGGTTAAGGCCCCGAAAAAGTTAAGGTTGAAATAAAACTTAAATTTCACCTTTTTTTATCATTTTTCCAAAGTGGGGTTTCTCTCCCGCTGGGTTTGTACTGTAAACTATTACCCCAGCAGGGAGATCCTTCCATCCCCAGTCCCACTGTGCCTTCCTTCATTCCCGTATTCTCCATATATTACTACACAGCAGCCACCAGGGGCAGAGATGCCTGATGTGCAGATTGACCAGCTGATCAAATTTAACTTCCACTAGTTTAAAAAAAACCCACTTTGGATACAATTCTGATATAATGATTGAAATTTTAGATTTGTATTGATATTAGTTTCTATTCCCAACATGTTTGGAGGCCTCCTGTGTACAATTGACTGAGCAAGAGAGAGGCATGTGTCCCCCCTGTATAACGCACTCTGAAGCCTGGTTAATCTCATATGCATTGTAAACCCATCTCCAACCAAATCTATTTGTATTTATTGATATTTATTTATTTCAGGTACTTATATAGCTTTATCAATTTACGCAGCACTTTACATATATATTGTACATTCACATCAGTCCCTAACCCTCAAGGGGTGTACAATCTAAGGTCCCTAACTCACATTCATACATACACATACTAGGGACAATTTAGACAGGAGCCAATTCACCTTCCAGCATGTCTTTGGCGTGTGGGAGGAAACCAGAGTACCCAGAGGAAACCCATGCAGGCACAGGGAGAACATGCAAACTCCAGGCAGGAGGTGCTGTAGTTGGGATTTAAACCAGCGACCCCAGTACTGCCAGGCAAACGTGCTAACCACTTAGCCACTGTGCCACCCAGATGACATAATCAGATCAAGCTTTAGTTGCTATCACCAGGATGGGACCCTATTTTTAATCATATATATATATATATATATATATATATATAAATATATATATGATGATATATATATATATATATGATTAAAAAAAAATATATATATATATATATATACACTATATTGCCAAAGGTATCCTGCCGCCTGCCTTTCCACACACATGACCTTTAATGGCCCCCCAGTCTTAGTCCGTAGGGTTCAATATTGAGTTGGCCCCGCCCTTTGCAGCTATAACAGCTTCAACTCTTCTGGGAAGGCCGTCCACAAGGTTTAGGAGGGTGTCTATGGGAAGGTTGGACCATTCTTCCAGAAGCACATTTGTGAGGTCAGGCACTGGTGTCGGGGGAGGAGGCCTGGCTCACAGTCTCCGCTCTAATTCATCCCAAAGGTGTTCTATGGGGTTGAGGTCAGGACTCTGTGCAGCCAGTCAAGTTCCTCCACCCCAAACTGGCTCCTCCATGTCTTTATGGACCTTGCTTTGTGCACTGGTGCACAGTCATGTTCGAACAAGAAGGGGCCATCCCCAAACTATTCCTATAAAGTTAGGAGCATGAAATTTCCCAAAATGTCTTGGTATGCTTACGCCTTAAGAGTTCCCTTCACTGGAACTAGGGGTTCAAGCTCAACCCCTGAAAAACAACCCTACACCATAATCCCCCCTCCACCAAACTTTACACTTGGCACAATACAGTCAGGCAAGTACCGTTCTCCTGGCAACCACCAAACCCAGACAAGTCCATCAGATTGCCAGTCAGAGAAGCGTGATTGGTTACTCCAGAGAACACGTCTCCACTGCTCTAGAGTCCAGTGGCAGCGTGCTTTACACCACGGCATCCAACGCTTTGGACTGCAATTGGCGATGTAAGGTTTGGATGCAGCTGCTTGGCCATGGAAACCCATTCCATTAAGTTCTTTACCCACTGTTGTGCTAATCTGAAGGCCACATGGAGTTTGTAGATTTTAGCTATTGACTCTGCAGAGAGTTGGCAACTTCTGCGCACTGTGCGCTTCAGCATGCACTGACCCCGCTCTGTCATTTTATGTGGTCTACCATTTGGTGGCTGAGTTGCTGTTGTTCCCAGTTGCTTCCACTTTGTTATAATCCCACTAACAGTTGAGCGTGGAATATTTAGTAGCCAGGAAATGTCACGGATGGATTTATTGCACAGGTGACAACCTATCACGGGACCACGCTTGGAGTCACTGAGCTCCTGAGAGCGACCCATTCTTTCACCAATGTTTGTAGAAGCAGTCTGCATGCCTAGGAGCTTGATATTTTACACCTGTGTCCATGGAGGGGATTGGAACACCTGAATCACATGATTTGGAGGGCTGGCTTAATACTTTTGGCAATTTAGTGTGAATATATATATAGTATATATGTATGTGCAGTATATTTATATATACGCTTCTATGAAGGAGAGAGTCACACAATTCACCTTTGTGAAAAAGTAAAGTGATAATAAAACAACAAAATTCCAGAGACATGCAGGAGAGGAGAGCTGACACGTTAGTAGATGAAAATGACTCTCAGGAAATTCGAGGTAGAGGATGAGTTTCACGTACAATGTCTAGAATTCACTGACCTTTACATATGACGGAAGCATCCTGGGAGTGGACACAGAGGTTCTTCTTTGACATCACAGCCCCACAATGTGATAGCTCAGTCTCTGTACCACTGCAGAACACCTTCTCCAGCCAAATGTCTCCAGTTCCTGGGCCAAATTGTGCTCCACCAGGTGCCTGCACTGCAGGACCACAGCCAACCTGTCTACACACCACCTCTGCATCAGACAGGTCCCACTCTTGGTCACACACCGTGCCCCATTTCTTCTTATACCAGACCTCCACCCGTCCAGAGCAGGAATGAGGCCCATCCACCAACCTCACATCCGTCACCCCTGCAACAATAATGACATCAACCTTTGACAATGAATGGATAATACCCTCTCCCCAAACAGAGCCAGGTACTATGGTAAGTTCTGGTGAACAATGGTGTGGCTGGTGCAGGAACACATGAATATTTGGCTGTAACGTGCTTTGCACCTCTCCCCTAACCTTCACTGTAATTCCTAACCCTAACAAACTAATCCCTTAACCCAAACCCTTATCCTTAACAACATGACCCCTAACCTAACCCTCACCCCAACAACCTATCCCCTAACCTTCACTCTAATCCCTAACCCTAACAAACTAACCCCTTAACCCAAACCCTTATCCTTAACAACATGGCCCCTAACCTTCACCCCAACAACCTATCCCCTAACCTTCACTCTAATCCCTAACTCTAAACAAACTAACCCCTTAACCAAAACCCTTATCCTTAACAACATGGCCCCTAACCCTCACCCCAACAACCTATCTCCTAATTTTCACTCTAATCCCTAACCCTAACAAACTAACCCCTTACCAAAACCCTTATCTTTAACAACATGGCCCCTAACCCTCACCCCAATAACCTATCCCCCTAACCTTCACTGTAATCCCTAACTCTAACAAACTAACAACTTAACCCAAACCCTTATCCTTAACAACATGGCCCCTAACCCTCACCCCAACAACCTATCCCCTAATCTTCACTCTAATCCCTAACCCTAACAAACTAACCCCTTACCAAAACCCTTATCTTTAACAACATGGCCCCTAACCCTCACCCCAATAACCTATCCCCTAACCTTCACTCTAATCCCTAACCCTAACAAACTAACCCCTTAACCCAAACCCTTATCCTTAACAACATGACCCCTAACTTCACCCCCAACAACCTATCTCCTAATTTTCACTCTAATCCCTAACCCTAACAAACTAACCCTTAACCCAAACCCTTATCCTTAACAACATGGCCCTTAACCCTCACCCCAACAACCTATCCCCTAACCTTCACTGTAATCTCTAACCCTAAAAAAACTAACCCCTTACCAAAACCCTTATCCTTAACAACATGGCCCCTAACCCTCACCCCAACAACCTATCCCCTAACCTTCACTGTAATCCCTAACTCTAAAAACTAACCCCTTAACCAAAACCCTTATCCTTAGCAACATGGCCCCTAACCCTCACCCCAACAACCTATCCCCTAACCTTCACTCTAATCTCTAACCGTAACAAACTAACCCCTTAACCCAAACCCTTATCCTTAACAACATGGCCCCTAACCCTCAGCCCAACAACCTATCCCCTAATCTTCACTCTAATCCCTAACCCTAACAAACTAACCCCTTACCAAAACCCTTATCTTTAACAACATGGCCCCTAACCCTCACCCCAATAACCTATCCCCTAACCTTCACTCTAATCCCTAACCCTAACAAACTAACCCCTTAACCAAAACCCTTATCCTTAACAACATGGCCCCTAACCCTCACCCCAACAACCTATCTCCTAATTTTCACTCTAATCCCCCTAACCCTAACAAACTAACCCCTTAACCCAAACCTTATCCTTAACAACATGGCCCCTCACCCCAACAACCTATCCCCTAACCTTCACTGTAATCTCTAACCCTAAAAAACTAACCCCTTACCAAAACCCTTATCCTTAACAACATGGCCACTAACCCTCACCCCAACAACCCTATCCCCTAACCTTCACTCTAATCCCTAACCCTAACAAACTAACCCCTTAACCCAAACCCTTATCCTTAACAACATGACCCCTAACCTTCACCCCAACAACCTATCCCCTAACCTTCACTGTAATCCCTAACCCTAAAAAACTAACCCCTTAACCAAAACCCTTATCCTTAGCAACATGGCCCCTAACCCTCACCCCAACAACCTATCCCCTAACCTTCACTCTAATCTCTAACCGTAACAAACTAAACCTTAACCAACACCCTTATCCTTAACAACATGGCCCCTAACTAGAGATGAGCGAAGAAATGAAAAATTCGATTCGACTGATTCGGCGAATTCGTGGACAATATTCGATTCGAGTCGAATAAATTCGCTGTGAATTTAACTTAAAAAAGGGTGTTTCTAGGCTTCAGAGAGACTTAATATTAGTGCAGAACACTGTACCTTTAATTTAAATGCCCTTGGAGTCTGCTGGGAAGAGAAATAATACTGTCACTCAGTATGACATGCAGATGAGTGCCGTCGATCTTAGAATCACCGCACACTTCACTCATTTGGCCAGTCACGGGGCCAAAACCAGTGTTTGGTGGAGCCACAGTGTGGCGGTGGAGGCAGCAGCAATGGGAGGCCATACAGCAACCTATGACAAAAATGGAAACCAGCAGGAGTGTGAGGAGACCTGAAAGTGGCACATGGCAGAGTGGGAGCAATGGGAGGCGGTACAAGTACAGGGACCCATGTCACACTGTGGACCCAGCAGCAGCGTGACGAGGCGGTACGGGGGCCCATGGCAGATTTGGGGCCTGGCAGCACCTATGGGAGGCCTGTAATCTGCCAGCAACCTATGACAAAATGGAAACCAGCAGGAGTGTGAGGAGACCTGAAAGTGGCACATGGCAGAGTGTGGCGATGGAGACAGCAGCAATGGGAGGCGGTACAGGGACCCATGACACACTGTGGACCTAGCAGCAGCGTGAGGAGGCGGTACGGGGGCCCATGGCAGATTTGGGGCCTGGCAGCACCTATGGGAGGCCTGTAATCTGCCAGCAACCTATGACAAAATGGAAACCAGCAGGAGTGTGAGGAGACCTGAAAGTGGCACATGGCAGAGTGTGGCGATGGAGACAGCAGCAATGGGAGGCGGTACAGGGAACCCATGACACACTGTGGACCTAGCAGCAGCGTGAGGAGGCGGTACGGGGGCCCATGGCAGATTAGGGGCCTGGCCGCAGCAATGGAGGCCCGTAATCTGCCAGCATCCTATGACAAAATGGAACCCAGCAGCAGTGTGTGAGGAGACCTGAAAGTGGCACATGGCATGACACACTGTGGACCTGGCAGCAGCATGAGGAGGCGGTACGGGGGCCCATGGCAGATTAGGGGCCTGGCAGCAGCAATGGGAGGCCCGTAATCTGCCAGCACCCTATGACAAAATGAAACCCAGCAGCAGTGTGAGGAGACCTGAAAGTGGCACATGGCAGGGCATGATTCATGGCGGATTTAGTCAGTTGTGTCAGGAACTGGTGGTTTGAAATCAAGACTAATCCACGCCTGATTCATTTTCACAAACGTGAGTCTCTCCACACTTTGGGTGGACAGTCGTGTCCTCCGCGGAGTTACAATACCTCCTGCCGCACTAAACACGCGCTCCGATGCCACGCTACTGGCCGGGCATGACAGCCTTTCAAGGGCAAATTCAGCTAGTTGGGGCCAAAGGTCAAGTTTCGTTGCCCAGTAGTCAAGGGGATTGTCTACCTCGGTTGGCAGGGTGCTGTCCAAGTAGGCCCAAGCCTGTTGTTTGAGCTCCTGCTCCAGGTCCACCTGATGCTGCTGCTGCTGCTGCGGCTGGTTAGTATTTTTCCTCACTGCGCTGGTGAAGAAAGCTACTCATCATCGACTGCAGACTGAGGCAGCCGCTGCTGGTGGAGCTGCCACTGCTCCTACCACCCCACCCCTCCCCTGCTGCCATGGCAGCGGAACGCGAGCGCACAGGGCCCACAGTGTCCTGAGGATGGACGTTGGCGCAGAAAGGCAGAGACCAACTGACTACATAGGTGGTTTTTATAGTACGTTATTTTGGCCTCCCTCTCAGCAGGTGTGAAAAAGGCCACCATTTTGAACGGTAGCGAGGGTCCAACAAGGTGGACAGCCAAAAGTCATCCCTCTGTCTGATGGTTATTATTCGGCTGTCGCTACGCAAGCAACCGAGCATGCTATGGGCCATTTGTGCCAAGGAATGCGAGGGACTCCCTGCCTCCATCTCCACAGCATACTGCCACGGTGCGTCTGGGTCCTCTGTCCTCCTCCTCCTCCTCTACCAGATGCTCCTGCTCCTCCACTCCTGTCCGCTGAGTGGAAAAAAAACCACCCATTTCACTCAATAATTCCTGAGCACCAATGTCCTCCTCTACCTCCTCCTCTTCTTCCTGTCCTGCCCCCACAGGGGTCATGTGGCGTTTGAGATCTGTGCGCCACGTCTACCGCACCCTGACCAGCCATTGTTAACAGCATTTGTTCCAGGACGTGCAACAGAGGAATGACGTCGTTCATCCCATAGTCCTGCCGACTCACGAATAGCGTGGCCTCCTCAAAGGGCCTGAGCAAGCGGCAGGTGTCACGCATGAGCTGCCAATGGCTGACATCGAAGTTACACAGGGGAGTACCTTTATCCGCTTGTAACATCAGGAAATCGGTGATGGCCTTTCGCTGTTCGTAAAGGCGGTCTAACATGTGTAGGGTTGAATTCCACCTTGTTGCAACGTCGCAGATCAGGCGATGCTGTGGAATTCCGTTCTGCCGCTGCAGCTCAAGGAGGGTGTGCTTTGCGGTGTAGGAATGGCTGAAATGCATGCAAAGTTTACGTGACATTTTAAGGATGTCTTGCAGTGGGATGGTGGATTTTAGGAACCGCTTGACAACCAGATTGAACACGTGAGCCATGCATGGCGCATGGCACAACCTTCCTTGACGCAGAGCAGACACCATGTTCTTTCCGTTGTCGGTCAACATGGTTCCGATTTTCAGTTTGCGCGCGGAGACAGCCATCTGTCGATTTCTCTGTTCATTACACTCAGAAGTTCCTCCCCTGTGTGACTACGTTCGCCAAGGCATACCAGGTGCAGCACAGCGTGACACCGTTGCGCCCTGCACATGTGATATGCCGGTCGGGTAATGGGACTTGGCACGGGGGTGGCGGCTGAGGACACGGCGGAAGAAGAGGTGGTAGAGGCGGACATCTTTGCTGGACCAAGGACGTGCAAACGTGGAGGCAAAAGCGGCGTGACCTGTCCAAGTTGCTGGTGCGGCTGTGCCGGCACCACGTTCACCCAGTGGCCGTAAATGACATGTACTGTCCCTGACCGTAGTTACAGCTCCACACGTCGGCGCTGCCGTGCACTTTGGCAGAGACCGACATGCTCAAAGACTGGCCCACCATCTCTTCTACATGTGAATGCAGGGCTGGCACTGCCTTTTTGGCGAAGAAATGCCGGCTTGGCACTCTCCACCGCGGCGCGGCACAAGCCATCATTTCTCGGAAAGGTGCTGAGTCCACCACTTGGAAAGGGAGGGACTGCAGCACCAGCAACTTGGACAGGAGGACGTTCAGCTTCTGCACCGTCGGGTGCGTGCTCGCAAACTGTTGTCTCTTGGAAACGGATTCCAAGAAAGACTGCTGACGGAATCCGTGAAGAGGAGTAGCAGGAGAAGGAGCATCTGAACGAGCGGAAGATGCCAACGAGCGACAACTCCCCTCAGCAGAGGTGTTGGAGCCTTGACTGGCTGATAGAGGGCGATTGACGTCGGGTGACGGAGCAAGTAACGGAGCGGGTGATGGAGCGGGGGCTGGGGCAGGCAGAACCGCCGTATCTTTATCACGGTTTTCCCAGGCCACCAAATGGCGACGCTGCATATGCTGACGCAACGCTGTAGTCCCAACATGGGCCCCCTGGCCACGCTTGACTTTCTGGCCACATAGTCGACATACGGCTACGTTTACTTCCTCGGGCGGCTTGACGAAAAATTGCCACACCGCCGAGTAGGAAACTTTGCCCCCGCTACTCCTCACTGGCTGACTGCTACTCCTCCTCCGTGCACACCGGCACCACTACTGGCCGTGGTGGTAGGCTGCAGTGGAGCTGGTGCTCTACTCCGTGGCCGTTTGCCTCCACTGACACTGCTGCGACCCTGCTGCCTCCTGGGCAACCCACCGACTGTTTTGCTCGCTGCCAAGCTGGCACCCTCTTCTCCTGATGATGCGGAAGCAATAGCCTGATGACGACGAGGCTGCCAAGTGCGATCAGCCTCATCATCATCAATTAGGGTCTCCGCCTCACTACTAGCCCCCTCGGCTGCGTGTGGGTCAGGAGACAGACCTGTCTCTAGACCGGCTACCGAGCCACTCTCCTCGCCAGTACTTCTTCGCCTGGCTGCTGAAGAGGCGGATGTCTCCCCCCGTTCCTGACCGCCCTCTGTTAGCTCTTCCTCACTGTACAGTGGGGCTGAGCCCACAGCATGCGATACTTCGCTTGGTGAGGGAACACCAAAGGACAGGGGCAGGTAGAGGACACGTGATTTCAGTGGGCTTGCTCCCGGGCCATGCCAACTAACGGTTGTGTCTGACGTACCCACCGACCGTTGGCTGTAGGTGTCAGAGGTGACCTGGGAAGAGGAAGACGACCGAGCCAACCAATCGATGACGGCAGGGTTGTCGGTGGAGACACGACCGCTGGATGACACCGGGAGCACTGGCCTCTGGCTGCGACTAGTGCTGCCTCGACCCCTTCCTCTGCTGCCACGTCTGCTCGCTCCTGAAACATTGCCTCCTCTGCCACTCCTCTGCGTGTTGTCTGACATACTCTTTAATTCAACGATTCTGTGTCCCTGAGTAACGATTCTGTGTCCCTGAGTAACAATTCTGTGTCCCTGAGTAACAATTCTGTGTCCCTGAGTAACGATTCTGTGTCCCTGAGTAACAATTCTGTGTCCCTGAGTAACAATTCTGTGTCCCTCAGTAACAATTCTGCTGTCCCTGAGTTAACGATTCTGTGTCCCTGAGTAACAATTCTGTGTCCCTGAGTAACAATTCTGTGTCCCTCAGTAACAATTCTGTGTCCCTGAGTAACGATTCTGTGTCCCTGAGTAACGATTCTGTGTCCCTGAGTAACAATTCTGTCCCTGAGTAACGATTCTGTGTCCCTGAGTAACGATTCTGTGTCCCTCAGTAACGATTCTGTGTCCCTCAGTAACGATTCTGTGTCCCTGAGTAACGATTCTGTGTCCCTGAGTAACAATTCTGTGTCCCTCAGTAACGATTCTGTGTCCCTGAGTAACAATTCTGTGTCCCTGAGTAACAATTCTGTGTCCCTGAGTAACAATTCTGTGTCCCTGAGTAACAATTCTGTGTCCCTCAGTAACAATTCTGTGTCCCTGAGTAACAATTCTGTGTGTACACAATTCTGTGTCCTGAGTAACAATTCTGTGTCCCTGAGTAACAATTCTGTGTCCCTCAGTAACAATTCTGTGTCCCTGAGTAACGATTCTGTGTCCTCTGAGTAACAATTCTGTGTCCCTGAGTAACAATTCTGTGTGTCCCTGAGTAACAATTCTGTGTCCCCTGAGTAACGATTCTGTGTCCTGAGTAACAATTCTGTGTCCCTCAGTAACAATTCTGTGTCCCTGAGTAACAATTCTGTGTGTCCCTGAGTAACATTCTGTGTCCCTGAGTAACAATTCTGTGTCCCTGAGTAACGATTCTGTGTCCTGTGTGTCCCTCAGTAACAATTCTGTGTCCCTGAGTAACAATTTCTGTGTCCCTGAGTAACGATTCTGTGTCCCTGAGTAACAATTCTGTGTCCCTGAGTAACAATTCTTGTGTCCCTGAGTAACGAATTCTGTGTCCCTGAGTAACAATTCTGTGTCCCTGAGTAACGATTCTGTGTCCCTGAGTAACAATTCTGTGTCCCCTGAGTAACAATTCTGTGTCCCTGAGTAACGATTCTGTGTCCCTCAGTAAACAATTCTGTGTCCCTGCGGTGAGTAACAATTCTGTGTCTGTCCCTGAGTAACAATTCTGTGTCCCTGAGTAACAATTCTGTGTCCCTCAGTAACGATTCTGTGTCCCCCTGAGTAACAATTCTGTGTCCCTGAGTAACAATTCTGTGTCCCTGAGTAACAATTCTGTGTCCCT